TTAAAACTAATATTAGCATAACAGATACTGTATATCTTGTCATGTTTAGCTCAACTCCATATAAACTGGGTTTGAATGGTCTAATTTACTAAGGAGGTATCAAATTAACATATAAAGCCTCCGTGTTTAAACAATAAATTAGTTTTTTTATATGTGCCAGATCTATAAAATGTAAAATACTCCAGTATTTGGTTGTTGCTCAAAATGAGGTTCTAGGAAATCTGCTTTTAGCATCCTGGTACTGAAGGTAGCCCTCAATGATTATCTGACAGTGTCTGGTATTTAAAATCAAGATCTCACAGTGTGACAGCTGCTACAGCCTACATCTACTGATTAACCATCAGGAATGCAGCTGCTGCTGGAGATGTGCCACATAAAGATCCATTAAAGAAGATGAATGCGAGGGGATATATTTCCAGAGTTATGTATGATCCATGGGAGAGAAGAATGTGACAAAAACGTGTATGTCACATATCATTTGATAAATAATAGCATTAACCACAAAGCTCCTAATAAATGAGAAGCCTGATAAATGTCAAGTTGTCACATTAGCTGTCTTGAAGTCTTTCCATTCATTATTTCATCTCTGTCCTGCAGTCTATGGGTGAAACGTGAGTATACTCTGGACAGTTCCCCATTAAATTGGAGGGCAAGACAGATACACACAACCAGGCAAACATGCTCACATTGAAACATAAGGACAATTTAGAGTAACCAACAAGAAAAAGCCAGATTACCTGGAAATAAAATGCAAATTCTGAGCAGAAAGAGGAATTAAACCCCAGACCTAGTTGTTGCCAAGATACAGTGCTACCAACTGTCCCTCCTTACAGCCGTCTGTACTATTAGTATTATTTAGTCTAATGTAAATACAGGGACAGGGGAGCAGAAAGCAAAACATCTTCAAAATTGTTTTTTAACTTCTTTGGAGTAAATACAAGGACGTACAAGATGACTTATAAATTCATCCACTGAGTTAGGGACAGAATTTTGGCTGAAGGGGATCTCCACGGGATCTGAATGGTGCTGAACACACAAAAAATGAAATCGGTTTTGGATCCTGACAGAGATAACCTGCCCTGTCTGCACCAAAAAAGTTGCCAGATCAGCACTAAGGGGCATCAGCAAGCCCTTAGAACAGGTACATTCTCATTATCAGCAGTGTTCATGTAGGAATGCACACCAGGCAAACCAGTGATAATTATTATTAATGTCCTCTTACTATAACCTTTACCAAGATAGCAAGACCGATTAATAATTGGGGCCTCAACATATATTTCTTCCTGTTAAATTATTTTTTTTTTTTATGTGGCAGTTGGACTTTGGTTCATATGGACATTTAGCAAATCTTTTTTTTGTGAAAAGACATTGAACAATTGAAGTTATTCATCCAAATACAACTCCTTGATTTAATTGTAACTATTTGTTATCAAACTGAATACATTTTTAGTTTGCTTTGTCAGGATTTTGGACTAAAATAGTAGACTTAACAGCCCATTTTGCATGTTTATGTTAAAACAGCCAACTTGAGCTCATGATCCAGTAGGCTGATGTATTTGTAATATTGCTTAAAAAGGTAAGTTGTTGCAAAATACCTTTACTTTAATTCTCCCAAGTTGGTCCCCTATTTTTCAGTATCTATTAAGCTAAAGATCAATGGGATAAGAGATGAAATTGTTTATTGTTGTACGTCCTGTGCAGCAGTGATCATGCACAAGTCAAACCTTATGTCAACTTTGCATCGCATAGTGTGTCATGTCATCAAGATTGCAAAAATCAAAGAGTATAGGAAAGGGTATAAAATGACATAAGATCGGCATTAAAAACTCAGCTTTCACCTTTTCTTTTTATTTAACAACTTTTCATTGAGCTGTATGCACTGGCTTAAAAAAAGCACATAAGACAATTTAATCAGCAGGGCTGTGAGACTGAAAAATACTATTTCCAACTTTATATGCTTTTATATGCTGGAACATTAAAAAACAAGTACATTGGTTCATTAGAATTACAAAATTACAATTGTGACAATAACCAAAACTAGCCTTGTCCCATTTCCCAGACTGACACATTTGTACAACAGCATTAGTTAAATCTTCTGGTAACCTCTTTGCAAAGGTTTTAGCTTAAGGATCCAATGAGCGTCAGTAAAATCCTTTGTAAACAAACTGATCTAATCTTCACCTCATATTTGCCCTAATAGTTGCAAGATCAAATAAAGCCATTAAAGTATTAGTGTAAGTGCATACACACTTAACCAAAGTTGTTGTTTTGTTTTTTTTTTGGTTTTTTTTGCTTTCTTAGTTAAAAAAAATAGAATTTATGATTTTGGTTTTTTTTGCTTTCTTAGTTAAAAAAAATAGAATTTATGAAACGCTAAAGGTAAAATAACTTTGTTTGCTTGGTTTAAAATGTTTCTTACATGCACTAGGAATGGTATTTCTGTTATTGGTTACCACAATAAATTCCAACATTTATTTACACACTAATAGCTCATCCATTTATTTCTGTGTTAAACATTAGCTGTGCAGAACAAACGAACCGATTGGTGGGAACAAATGGTGAGGTACTTAAAACCTTTAATCTGTTTTTTCCTAACTCAATTAGTTGTTTCCTTACATTTAGTGTAAGCCATGCTTACACACCATTAAACTGGTTTCCTCAGCTGATAATTTGATCAGTAAGTGAGGTTTAGTGTTAGGGCCCTGGAACACTGAAACAAATAATGCAACCGCTTCTGGCAATTACTTAAACATACTTAGTTACTTTAACACAGTGGCTTCATTTCCTACCCTGATAACGTGAAACAATTGTGTTAAAGTAAATAAGATTAAGTAAAAGCCAAAAACGGCTGCATTATTTTTTTTCAGTGAATGCACTGACCCCTGTCTGCCAGTTAATTGAATAATGATGTGTGTTTGCTGTCAGCTTCATGCCATTCCTGTTGTTCGAGGAAATGTGCTAATGCTCTATTATTACCACTGGCTGGTCTACAGCCTCCTTCAAATTTCAAAGCAAAATGGCTCCCTTAAGAAAAAAAAAACACAGAGGGAATTCAACAGAAGTGCTTGAACCCTGTAGAGTGAGACAAAAGAACAAGGAACTGTTGTTCTTTAGCTCATTTAATGTGAGAAATTAGAATGTCAGAACAAAAACATTTAATTGTGTACACTTAAACTGGAGTAATTAACCCCATCAGCCTTTCAGAGAGTAAAGGTCACTCAACGATGTCTTTAAAATGAACAATTTAGAAGTGTATTGATCAACCTTTCATGTCCTGTGACTGAAAGCAATGCTTGTACAGTATAAGAGACTGAAGTCATGGGGAAATAAGAAAAACCCTGACGAACCACAATCAGTTGGTCAGTTTAAAGTACTAAATGACAAAACAGCTTGGTATTTCTTCTGCTCATGTTTCATATTCTTATTCAGGCACATCCAGGTTATGGAAGACCAGCTTAATTCCTAGGATTAAAATCAGTCAAGAATATGATCAAAATTTAAACCTGTTAACGATGGAAAAGACTGTAAAAGACTCAGCAGAATCTTATGTAAAAAATGGTACAGATAACCCCTCCTTAAATCCTTTATTAAACTCTGTAGCTCTGTTGTTTAAAAAACAGACATGATTAACCGAAATGCCAGAGATATAAAAACACAGATTATCCTTGTATTGAAAAGACTTTTGAATACAAAACAAGAAGTGATCCCATATATAAATATTATAAGAAGTGAATGAAGGGATGCACCAAGTAACCAACTGGTGACCCAAAGAGCAGTTAGCAGATAAGGCTTTCAGCAGTGGTGGGCTGTGAGGGCCGTAAAGGCCTTCTCTGCTGGCCTAAACTCAATCAGAAACACTAGCCTACATTCATAACCTAAACTTTAAGTCTTCTTTCCAACTGTACTAATTTATTCCAAACAACCAGTTTCTCTTGACTGCGTTGATTCTATTACACTTATGTGGTCTCTATATTTTTTGTCCAATCAGATTTCAGCCTTAATGCGGTGCTATGTCAATGAAATCTGCAAGTGCTTCAGAATGAGCAGTGCTGTCTGATGTTACCTTAATATTAGTGAGGAGCATTTTCTTCAAACATGTATATAAATGTACTATTTGTCTGACGATATTGTCCCAAAAGTTAGAAAATGTATATTGTCGAAGAAATCCTTTATTCAAATATATATATATATATATGTGTGTGGACATCAAGGTATAAGAAGTAGATTAAGGGGTCCCCACTGAAGGCCTAGGTACCATATGCACTGCCTGCACTGCTTTTCAGAAGATCCTACTATTCATTGTTGCATAGTTTAAAACATCTTAGTTATGGAAAGCTGTTGTTCCCATACAAGAAAAACTTGAAACATTGTTAAAGTCACATCAGACAAACATTTATATATAAAATAAATATTCTAAGCATTTTGCTTTGCCCTGCTTATTCAGTTAGATCAGTACATAAAGCAAGTTGTGTTAGTTTAAAAAAAGAGTCACAAACAGAAGCCACGCAGAAGAGCACATAATTCATCTGAGGCAAATATTTAAGTCTGGGATTGAGTTTTTTAGAAGAGGCCCAACTGTAATTTCTGCATGTCAGCAGAAGGCTTAACAGAAGAGACTCAAACGATTTGAGCACCACGAGGCATACTGATAACTTGAAGTCAAAACTCTCAATGGCCTTAAGAGTTACTTTGACTCCAAACCATGAGAAGGGGTTAAGGCAGAGTTAATGAAAACTGCAATTCAGGTAAATGAAGGCATAGGATCGATTCTTACTGTTTCCATGAGGTGAAACAATCAGAAACCTGAGACAAAAACTGTCTAAATCAGTTGCTTACAAATAAAAAAAAAAAGATTTCAGAAGCATGTGACTCCATACTTCAGGTCGCACACATGGACAAGCAACAAGCTTATTTCAAATCCATTCAAATGCATCATATTCACTAGTTAAGCGCATTCAATTCACTAAGTGCTTAAGGGGGGGTGGGATTATGTTTCCTACCTGTGACCTCCAGTTTATCCACGCTGACCTCACATTTGAGGAAAAGACGCCCTCTTCTCTCAGTGTGATCGGTTCCACACAGGCTGGGAACATTCATAACACACTGGTTATGAACGTTCATATCACAGGCTGCAGGGACACAGAGGAGAGAAGGATGTCAGGAAACATTTTTTACAACCTAGACATCTGACTGCGAAAAATAATAATAATTCAGTCAACCTTTAGAAATAATATATTTATCAACATTGCTATGGTCTAATAAAAATCAACAGTAAGCAATAAACTTGAATTGGTTCAAAATATTTGTATTGGGAAAGAGAAAGTTAAAAGCAATCTGCAAAAGTATGTAACTCTTAAATTGTTGTATGTTTTATTGCAGTAAGCTGCTTTAAAAAATAAAAAAAGTAATTCACTGTTCCCTTTTCTACATCTCATTCTGCAGACATATTTTAATCTCGTGTTATGCTCGGTGGGATGATAAAACAAAAGGATTGTTTTTGGAGAAGCTGTGTGAGAGGAGATGACAAGGGTACGACCTAAATTCATCGCTGTGATGGTGCATCTACATATCCTGTCTGTCAGCCAGCCTAGCCTACACCCCCTCCGCCTCTGTCAGGGATTTAGAGCAATTACATCATTGTGTCACCGGGTCACTAGGTGAAAAACAATGGGGGAAAAAAAAAATCCACTCATTTCTCTAGCATGACTTTTTTCACCTTGTCTTTCTGTTTTTTTGAAAATACTGAAGTAAAATATTTGATCTACTGACATAATATAAGTGTAGGGCTATATAAATGACAAATAAACCTGCTGAAACTAATATTACACCTACAAACAGGAAAGAGATCTAAATGAAAAACATTTCAGAATCAGAATCAGAAATACTTTAATAATCCCAGAGGGGAATTAGTATTTTTGATGCTTTGTAGCAAATGTTCATATCAAGGTTTGTTAGAAAGATGCTACTGGTGGAAAATGTAACGCTTTTAGGAGGATTTTTAGGCTTTAAAGAAGAGCAAAGATGTCTGTGTGACATAGATCCATATGACAGGTTTAGATGGAGACAGATAACTAGCTGTGGCGACCCCTTAGAGCAAAAAGCTGAAAGAAGAGGACCAAGGTAATTATTGTTACTTTATTATGAAAATAGAGAAAATAAAATGTTCATTTAGATTTCTGGCCTAATAACACAAGCTTTGAGGGAAAGCTTTTAGTTCTACACATTAATAATCTAAGACTTTTCTCACATCAAATCTGTTTGGGTGAAGGAGGGATATTTAGCCCAACCTTTAGAGCTGATTGGGCGAAGCTGCACCTATAGCACCCGCCTAGCCAATCATGAAATGAAATAGAAGCATACGCCATGACAAACCATAGCAAAGTACTTAATAAAGCTCTTGCTGTTCCTCTTTTAAAAAGGAAATTGAAGATTCTGTTTCATGATTATACTGAATGCTTATTTTCATCATTCTACTATATGTCCCACCAGAATACATAATGCTGCGGTTTGATTGGCTAACCTGTTTTAGGTCAGACTCAAACTATTTAAGCTGGATCGACTCATAATAGATTCAGTTGTCTTTGTGAACTCACAAATGTGCGAGAATTCAGCTTGCACATAACATTAATCTAGAATAAACCTCAGATTAATAGAATCAAGATAAGAAAGACTATTTTTTCGGAGTGGCCTTTGACTGTGCTGTCTTAAAATTATTAGTTAACCTTTTATAGGGCACTCAGTAAAATACTTTGAAAATCAAACTTTCAAGCCAATAGTGTTATTGGAATTCAGGACAAGACCTTATTACCTTTATAACATTAAAAAAATATGAAAACTTTGATGGTAAAAATTTATGTCAATATAATAACAAGACACGCCAACTTGCCCAAATATATTGAGAAAAATAACAAAACTGGGACGCAAGTGATCAAAAACAGTAACTTGCCCTTTAAAGAGTGAAGTTTGTTTTCCCACTTTTATTTTATTGTTTGGTTGTTTAATAGTTCATTTTCATTTTTATAACAACTTTACCACTTAAATTATTTTCATTCTCTAATAAACATTATTCATGTTTATTAATCACTTCATTACCTTTATGCCGCTGCAATGTGCTTTTCTCTGTGTATTTTCCAATCATTTTTCTTTTTACATGTACAGCACTTTGAATCATCTGCCAAAGTGTGCTACTATATATAAGTGGATTGCCTTGTCTTACGCTGAAACACAGACATGTTTGCAGTTTATAATCTCTTTACTCACAGTCACACTTCATGCCCTGGTGGATGAGACCATAAAGCAGGGAGCCGCAGTGATCACAGAAGGTGGGGCTCCCATAGGTGTGGATCTTGAACTTATGCTTTGTTCTGGGATCCTACAGGGAAAGAAGAGGAGAAAATAATACATTTAAGAAGGTTAATATTTAGTCATAATTGATCAATTAGATCAAACATCCTTCCCTCATGCAAAACATCCACAGTGTGATTCATCAAAGCAAATCGATTTAGAGATATATCTTATCTCTTGACCCAGGACTTCTGTTAGTTCAAAAAAGTACCATATTTTAGATATCCTCATTGTAACGGAAGCCTCAAAGCATTTGGCAGCAGTTCCTGTTTCGACAGTCATTTATTTTACTGACAAAAAGACTGCAGTCAGATTTATCAAACTGCATTGAACGAGTCACTCTGTGGGGGATTGCAAACTGACTTGAAGTGGGAGTCAATCAATCAGTAACAGCCTTGTAATAAATTACCGTTGAGATATTTTCCTCCTTCCTCCTTATCATCAGCAGGTGTAATATCTGCAGCTGATGGTTTGGGTTCAGACGGACCAAAAGAAGACATTTCAATTCAGCTCACACGTCAAACATGAATCATTTATAAACATGTTCTATCTTTTTAAGATTTCTATAGGGAAGGGTTTTTCAGAACTGATGCAATGAGAAGCATGCGACCAACAAACATAAAAACACTTATCTCATCTATTAAAGTCAAACGGAAAAAAATGTTCGCTTGGTTTCTATTCTAAACTCTAAAATACAGCGGTAACAATCCCGTCCAGCTCTTTGATTGGCCTTTTAAATGGTCTATCTTGGCATATAGTCATCGATGCCTTCAAAGCTTTTCATTCATAATCTGCCTTCAATAAAGTGCTGCAGGCCTTTCACATAAATATTCTATCAGACGAGGTGAGAAAAAACATTTGAGTTTATTGGTCAGAGTGTGCATTGGCATCTCATAAAAAAGAAACAGCATGTTGGTATCTAGAACAAAACCTAACAAATCCTGTGAGCTTCTCCCACACTTTGGATCATCACAGCCACAAAGTTGTATGTATATTAATGGGGGATTCCTTTTTTGTTTTGTTTTGTTTTTTTATTTAATAGCAAAGTATTTTGAGGTGGAAGGAGAAAAGAGGCGATAGTTTTAAAACAACAAAAACAAAGATCCAATCTAAAATCAATGCTTTAGTATTGAAAGATGAGAAAAAGAGGAAACAAAATTCCCATAGCATTATTGTGTCACCACCATGTTTCACCCTAGGGTTGGTATGTTCAGGATGATATGCAGTGCTAGTTAGGGCTGAAACAATTTATCGGATTAATCATGATTAATTGATTATTGAAATATCTGTTAACTAATTTAGTAATCAATTAATAGCTAAATTAAGTATAGAGACTGTAAAAAAGGTCTTTAGCTGACAAAACAAAGCACTTAGAACAGTTATTATGTTATTATATATAAACATTTTGCATTTAACATAAAAAAATGTTTTCTTTTGTCAATATGCTCTATCCAGAACTCCTCAAGTGGAATAGTTTTAGATTCACTTGGTTTAATTTCATAAAAAGTGTTCTTTAAGGAACCTTTGGCTATCCGATTATTAATTGATTGATTGAAAAGTTAGTTCATATAATAACTATATAATGTTGTGTAATTTTGGTCTCATATGACCAGACCACCTTCTTTCACATGTCGACTGTGTCCCATACATGGCTTTTACAAAACTCTGATTATCCTTCCTATAGCTTTGGCACAACAATGCAGAGTGTACGTATAAAATATGTCCTGTTGGGGCGCTTTGGTGGCACAGTGGTTAGCGCACATGACCCATGTATGGAGGCCTTAGTCCTCGACACGGCCAACCTGGAATCGAATCCGACCTGTGGTACTTTGTTGATGTCTCTCCCCCTCTCTCATAGCCCCTTTCCTGTTCACCTACAGTCCAAAAAAAGAGCCACTATTGCTGTAAAAACTCAAAAGGAAAAAAAAATAAATGTCCTGTCAGTAAACTGTCCAGCCGCTGCAGCTTTCTCCATTGTTACCATGGAGATGGGTGGCCCTCTTAATAATCCTTTATGAGACGTTAAAAGCTTGAGATATTGCTTCACAAAATGAGCCTTGCTCAGCGTTTTCCTCAACTAATTCCAGGAGCTATCCGTAGAATGCCTTAGCCTGTGTGATGCTGTTTGTTTGCAAAAGTATGAGTCTAATATGTTTTATGGTCAAGATTCCCAAAGAATGTTAAACTTGCTCTAATAACATTCTGCAAACTTTGCAGAGGCAGGATCATTATCTGAGACAGCTGCTCACCGTGGAAGAGTGACAGCCAGCAAACAGGCCGCACAGTTCCATCAAAAATAAATTAAGTTTTAGGTGACTGGAAAAAAAAAAAACAAAACATGAGGCTAAGGAAAAGAGAACTTCATTCATTCTGGGGCTGAAAGATGGCCGATTTATTACTGCAGTTTAGGTAAAGTTAATAGAAAAGTTTTCATTTTAGAAAGAAACACCGTGGTTTACAGTTCAGAAAACAAATGAGGCTAAGGTCTTATTTATCTTTCACTAGAACAGCATACATCATCAATGGGGAGGATTTGCTTAATCAAATAAGTGTCTGTCTGAAATAGAGAGACATATTTAAATCAAGGAAAAACAGCAACTTCTAGCAGATTAGCCAGAGGTGAAACGTCTGCCATAGATCATCGAGATATAAAGATTTAAATGAACCACTGTTATAACAGTGATGTTGTCTGATTGCATGATGTAAAAGTCAGAAATAATCATCAAAACTTAAAGGGCTTATATAGAGCAAAATCATCTTTTTTAATCTTAGAACAATGTTATTTTGCTTTTCCTTCATCAAAATCAGGCACAGAGTGTTATTTGCTGAATTGATGCACCTCTAATTAATCCTCCCTGTGCTGAGAAAAGGAACGTTGGGAGAATATCTTCATAAGAAGACGCCCTCCAGGAATCACCCAATTTAACCACGATGCACCTGCAGTAAACAACTACTGTAGCCCCTCTCTGCAATCAAGGAGGTACTATGCAAGGCAGAGAGCAATGGTTTCAGCTCATAGTTGAGACAAAGCAGCTCTTCTAGCAGCTAATCTGCACTAATTTTTATCTAATGTTAAACTTGTAATAATAATTTTTTTGATCTCAGATATCTTGGACCTGGTTCCACCTACAGAAGTGGTGTAACACTATGGCACCATAAAATCAGCAAAGAGAGGTGGCAAGGAGTGATGGATTGCTTTTTTTCAGGGTTGAAAGAAAACAGCTCTATTTCATAACAAATTCACACATAATGCCGAAGGCATTATTCAATCATTTATTTGTATTTGTAACTTTGAAAGGCCTAAAAAAAAAGCATGATATAAGACCTATAAAATCAGAATTATTATTAATTTTTTAATCCCTTGTGGGAAACTATTTTCTTGCAGTGCAACGGATTACAGAAGAGAGAAAAAATAAGACTGTAAGTACAATAGAGCAAAATAAAATATAATATAATAAGACAGAATAAAATAAGTATAATATAAATATGTATAACATCTTTTGTCAGAATCTTCAATTTCATATAAATAAAATAAGTATAATATAAGTAATTTCACCCTCCCATCTAAACATTGTAAAATAAGATATAGGAATATCTGGCTAATCTCCATTTATCAACTCACTTACAGTAGTTTCATTGAGGTGAGATCAAATAGTAAAAACACAAATAGTTTCAGTTTATTTTAACAGTTAGAATATTCAAAATGCAATAAAAACAAAGTCAGTTTAAACAAGGGCTACAAACCCAACCTAGGGTAAATATTAGTGTTAAGAATATTACATTTAAAGCAAGTTTTTTATGGCATATCCTAAATAAACAGTATCCTCCCTACTTTATGTCTGTGTGCTGAGCTGGAACGGGAAAAACCAGTGACGCCGTAAACAGAAAGTACACAGAAAGGTGTGTATACGACACATTAAAGCTGCTAACGTAAGGTGTAGCGTGCCAGATAGAGCATCAGTTCTTAATGTAGCTGCAGCACTTGGTGACTTTACACTGCAGATGCCTGTTGTTACATTTATAAAGAAATTCATTTCAATCTCTGAAAATGTGGTGTATGAAGGACTCTTGAATGAAGAGAATAATGAAAGCTGACTCCTTTCTAAGTGCTACCTCATTCACACTCAAATTTTGGTGCATTGTAAATCTCTTTAGAGGTTAACAGCTTTTCAAATCAAAACGTATTTGAGTAAAACATCAATTCTCCTGTTGCAAAAAAAAAAGGTCTGCTGTATACTGCATTCACTTTCCAGCGTAAAACAGACCAGAAATAAATAAAGCCCTTTCCTCCCCAGATTTACACCCCTCACCAATAAGCCTCATTATTATGGTCAATTAGAAGTCAAGTTATAAAAAAAAAATTATTTTCTTTTATTAAATATATATGTATACTTATATATTATGTTATATGGTATACTTTCTAGCCTGTTTGTTTACCCTAAAGTCAATAGATCAAACTGCAGAGGGGCAGAGAAGTTAATCATGCTGCATTATTTTCTTCACAAATTTATCTTCAAATAATCAGATTTTCCTGCAGTTTATGTAGATAAATATTAAATCAGCAAATAGAACCACTTGCAAGAAGAAGAAAAAAACCCTCCACCTTAACGGATTTCAGAGGAGCAGCAGAAATATTTGCACCCATGCAGTGTGAGTTTTTCAACAATGCGTTATTTAGCCACCAATGAGGTTTCACACTTTTAGAGGAAAAGAGGAATTCTTTGTATTTCCACCTTCCAGTTCTCAGGTCCGGTTAATGCTGTCAGGCCTGATCGGGCAGATGTGTTAAGATAACATTATACTGTAGCTCTGCTGTTCTGATCTACCCCCCACCCCCTTCTTCTGTTTCTGCAGCCGTTCGTACAAATAGGGAGCCTTTTCTCTGGTTTTGAACACTGTCCCTGTAATAGCTCACGTTGTACATTTATTGCCTTCTACTGAACAATAAATGACAAAAGTCAAATTACTGTAAAACCCAGAGGCTTCAAACGGCAGAACAAAAACAAGAAAACAACATTTGCAAACCTC